GATGACTTCTTTCAGTAAAATGCCATAAGGTCGAATCGCTCTTTCATCAATGAAACGCCAAGCTTCACCGGTAAGGACCGGTATTGTATGCCTTGTGAATTTACCGGGTTGTACACGACATTGAAAAACGACTTGAAACGTTTCACTCTTTCCAGTTGAGATTGGAAGTGAAAATTCACCAGCATATGCATCGGCTCCTTCATTGCAATGTGTTGCTAGATAGATTCCTTGATGATCTGCTTCTGCACCGATTAGTTTGACGGCTTCAGCTCTCATTAAGTCTCGTGTAAACTTGCTGGCTAGTAGACCTTGTTGTGTAATTCCCAGAACTGCGCCTTCGTTCGTACCGTGAAAAACAACTGGCCATTCACCTTCTGCATTGACATGGCCAAGCCAAACATTATCACCTGCATATTTATTATCTACCTTAAGTCCATGACGATACCAACCGATTGGCAAATAGTACGGCTCACTACCACGGCTGTCTTGCTCCGGTAGACCACCTTGTCTGTAGTCAAAATTGTATCGAGGATCGAGATCAGATGTTTGTATATTGAAATACTCTATGACTGTCTTCCATTTACATTCGTATTCGCTTTGTTTAACATTTTTTAGAACATTCTGATCCATAAAACCATATCGAGCTTGAATCTATAAATGAGAGATACGGATATAATAATTCCATTAAGTTGCTGCATATAATAACTGCTAGGTGGAACAGTTAGCAAGCTACCTCAAACTACTTACTGAAACCGCAGCTTATATAATCAGCTTGATATATTAAACTACTCGTAAAAAAGACTGTCTTTTATTTTCTCTATAGGATTAAACGGAATGTTACGCGAACCATTAAAATAAAGTTTACACACTATTGTCAATATAAAAAAGTGACCCAAATCGTCCAACTATCAAAGTTATTTAAAAATTAAACACTCTGATTTCTCACAACTCGATTTCGGGTAATTAAAGCAAACTTGTGAAGAACTAGCTGAACAGCAAGAAAAGTTATTTCTTTGGTATGTATTTGCCTTTTCATTACAAAAATCATTTAACACACGTGGCGCCTACAGCTAAGAAAATGCAATATGAGTAGAAAAAAATACGAGTAAAAGTAGTGGCTTGTTTAATAATCATAATGAAGATGAGTATACAGGGTATAACAAAATTATAGCCCCCCTTTTTGTCGTTGAGATTTTTCAATGAAGACGAATAGTTAGATCAAATCTAAATAGTGATTTCGATAGCCCTTGAAGTTCTCTATCGA